ACTATTTAACTGGGAATAAGCCACAATTAAAGGTTAAAATACCTTTATTGACGTTTCAATTACAACTTCGGAAATCGTTCTCAAAATGCAAAACATGTTTTGTATTTTCGAACAATTTCCGAAGTGGAAATTGAAACGTTAATAAACGTATTTTAACCTTTAATTGTGGCTTATTCCCAGTTAAATAGTAATTCATTTAAAATACCACAAGAAAATAGCTTCAGAACAATACTCTAATTCTGTTGCATTACAACGCGACGTGATAAAAGACAAAATCTACGCATGTAGAACAACTTGAAAAGGTTTTAAAAACGAACTTGAAGCAAATAAAAAAATTTAAAGGGGTGACCCAAGCTGGAGAATGAGTGAAGACGGCGTGCTAGGTTTGCAATGGATGGATAAAAAACATATTTATTTTCTAAGCAATATTCACAAACCTGAAGAAAATGTCACTGTGAAGAGAAAAGAAAAGAATGGGACATCAGTAGAAATTAACTGTGGTGGCATAGAATTTTTTTCCGTTTTGTTAACCTAATATTACTAAACTCATATATAATTTTCAAATAACAACTGGTATGAGAATGTCTTTGAAAGAATTTAAAATCGCTGTGACCACCGGTTGAACTGCTTGATCGCAGTTTGGTTTTCGGAAAGCACTTGGAACTAGAGAAGCAATTTTCGCTCTCCAGGTGCTTATACAGCGGTGTAGAGACGTTGATAAGGACGTGTATTTGTGCTTTGTAGATTTTAGAAAAGCATTTGACAATGTCAATCATGAACCATTGATAGGTATTCTGTGAAAGACAGGTATTGATGACAAGGACATTCGAATTGTGACAAACCTATACTGGGGTTAACTAGCAAGAGCAAAAATTGGCAACGAACTCACTGAAAGCGTGCAGATCAAAAGAGGTGTCCGACAGTCGTGTATATTATCCCCACTCCTATTCAATATGTATTCCGAGGAAATATTTAACAAATGTATGGAAAATGCAAATGAGAGCGAGTTAACGAACAATATAAGATATGCCGACGACACGGTGATCCTTGCCAGTACCATAGACGAATTACAAAAAGTAATGGAAAGACTTTATTCAGTTAGTGAGGAATACGGCCTGAGCCTCAACTTCAAGAAGACAAAGTGGAAGCAAAAAGCAACAACCTGCTCGACAATTACGGATAAGTAACATACTAATTGACCATGTAGAATCTTATGTATACCCTGGCACCAACGTAAATGCAAAATGAGAACAGACCATAAAAATTAAAGCGGGAATAGAACGTGCTAGAGCAGCATTTAGCAATATGAAAAAGTTCCTCATAAGCAAGGATTTGTCTCTTCCCCTAAAACTACGTATAGTTAAATGCTACATTTTTCCGATCTTACTGTATGGCGTGGAGGCCTGGACGCTGACAGAGACGCTAACGAGAAAACTAGAAGCATTCGAAATGTGGGTGTACCGACGCATTCTTCGTATATCCTGGACCGAACATATCACCAACATAGAGGTACTCCAAAGAATCGGAAAGGAGAAAGAAATCGTGAATACATTTAAACAAAGAAAGCTTGAATATCTAGGCCACATATTGAGGCACGATAAGTACCGTCTGCTACAATTGATTGTCCAGGGAAAAATAGACAGTAAGCGAGGGCTAGGCAGGAGAAGACACTCGTGGCTCCAAAATCTGCGGAAGTGGTTCGGGCTCACATCAGTCGAGCTATTTAGAATCGCCGCAAACAAGATCAAAATTGCCATGTTAATAGCCAACGTTCGCAACGGACAGGGCACTTGAAGAAGAAGAAGACCCCGCAAAGGAATAAAGGCAAAAACAATGATGATGATTTAAAAAGTAAAATATGGGTAATATATCTACTAATTTATCAGACTATAAAGAGAAAAAAGTGAAATAATATTTAGTGATTGGCTCAAACCTGTTTGACCTGTTTGATCAACTCCTGTTTCCCTACATACCACCCCTTTTACCTAAAAGCTGTAATATTGTAGTAGTTATCTTATCAATATTAGATTACCGACTAAAAATTATCCTATATATAATCATTTTTATCAAAATACCTAGCAAAATTTTAACATTTTGATACACGTAATATATTAATTACATTACTGTTAAATACCATACTCATATTGAACATAAAACATAAATTAATGAACACAACTAACCTTTAGTGTTGCATCCTCTATACTCCTAATCATGAACAGAAACACCATAAAAAATAGTTTAACAAAAAACCAATGAGTGCTCAAACGAACAACTAACATTTTCAACTTTTGATAAACATTTTTCCAATCAAGAAGAGGTATCGTGGATCACTGTACAAATTAATTATTATTGTAATATTTTGTGTTCCATATGTTTAACAATCTAATCTGATTATATGGCAATGATAAAATTAAGAGTTTGCGAATAGTGACTATTTATGGATTATGTTTATTGGAATGTTCCAGTTTGATGATTTCTATGTTATTGTATTAATCTGGTGAAATATAAAACTGTATGTAAGGTTTCAGTTTCGGTCAGGCCATGAATCAAATGATCATCTACAGTACCTTATAACCCTAGTCAAAAAGTCTTCTTCTTCTTCTTCTTCCTTCTTCTACGTAGGCTTTAAAGCCTGTTTCTTCTAAACAGTTTAAAGCTAGAAAAACGGTCTGTGATAGACCCATGGGTCAGAGAAGAAGAAGACCCAGAAAAATGTTCAGTAATAACATCGATGAAGACATAAGCAATATGGAAATACGTTCTTGGAGGAGGACTCGCGCATTGTTGTAAAGCCAGAATGATGTTTGGTCAAGTAAAACAGCCACTAGAAGGTTGTTTGTGTCTTCTTCTTCAGTGCCTTATCCGGTCCGGATGTTGGCTATCATCAAGGCTATTATGGTTTTGTTGACTGCTCTGCGAAACAGCTCCGCTGAGGTCATCCCAAATACTTTACCCTGTACAACGATTGTTTGTACTATTAGGACGAAAATATTTTACCCAAAAAGTATTTATAAATTGATTAAACAATGGGCTTCATGTTTTAATCCAAATTAAGATTATCTCTAGATTTGTTGAAAAAAAGTATCTTAATCTTTCGTAACCATTGAACAACAACAACAAATCAATTTTCATGTTTCCGTTGAACAATACAAACAGTAGTATATATTGTCTCAAAGTGACTAGTCTGTACAGGGTAAATGCACAACATCGATGCCATACTTCTTTGCAAACTTGTATTAAAAGAAACGTCACTTCTTACTTATTAACCAAATCCATCTTCTGCGTTGAAGGTAGCTTAAGTACTAATGCCCATTAACGACCCTGCCTGGCTTCCTTCTGTCAGTGGTTCTCAAACATATTTGCTACAATATACTTGGGTTAAATTAAAATAAAATAAAAATTAAGAAATGCCTTTTATTTATGTCACACAAGTCGTTTGTTTTTAATTCTACAGTATGTGCTAGCGATACAAACCATTTGTTTATAGATTTAAATAAAATCGAATAAAATAAAACTAAAATATAAAGAAACATTTTATTTATGTATTGTTCGTTCAAAAGTTAAGGGGGGAAGGACTTTTAAAAATCGCACTGTACAAAAATGCACATCCACACAATTTGTACATCTAATCTTATTCATTGTCATAAAACTGTCACCTTCATAAAACAAATACTCAATAAATAATACACATTTCATAAATATATCTCTTGAATAAGTATAAATAACTTATAAATAATACAATGGTATATAACATCACTTTCATCTAACAAAAAATCACATTACACCTATCTCTACTTCATTGGATCAAATCTATCTCCTCGAGAACTTCCCGTTTATTGTCAAACAACTACAATAGTAGACTTAAGTTCTCCATTCAACAATACATGATAGTTTCAACCATGTTCTACCATCCATCAATTAATAGAGTACCGGCATGTAAGCAATGTTTTATTTATTTGCTCATTTATTAATTTATTACAATCTAATAGACTATTTTATAACAATTTGTGGGTCTAACCCTGCCTGTTAAAACTTTTTATACCTTTTTATTCCTTTTTATTCATTTTGAAAAACCACAGACAGGTAATATTGGCATAATTATTGTAATTTATAACATATACTTTGTTTATCTTTATTAGACAACACCCTAATATGGGTTTTTTATTATTTCAGCATTTATTTAACTTTGTACCGAGACCTGAAGATGCTTTGCATATTGTAGAAAGCGAAACCGGTCGTCTGAATAGTTAAATTAAATTGATTGTGAGTAAGTCTTATTTATTATTTCTTTACCTATTAGAAGAAAGTATTTGAAAATTTTTGAAACAAATGTTTATTTAATGCACACTTTATTATACTACTGCTACTAAGAAAAGGTAAAAGTTGATAAGTTACTATTAGAAACAAATAATGTATAATATTATGTAAAATTATTAGCAAACGATATTTGTAAATTACATAAAATTGGACGTGAGGACTTGTTGAGAACTCCTGGTTTATTCCGTTTCTTTAAAAAAGATAGACAATAGAGAACGCCATCGCTTACTGCATAAATCTGGCAACGTCTTGGCAAAATTCCCATAAGGTTAGCATTGCATATCTTACCCTGTACAGACTAGTTAGTCACTTTGAGACAAAGTATAGCAGGACTATAAAAAAAGGATGTTTTTATTATTTTGTATATTATTAAGGATTATCCCCGAAAATCCTAACGTATAATAGATATCTTAATTCGTAAAATAGCTTGAATTTTTGGGATAGATACCTGCATTTGGGAACTATTCGAAATATTCGATACCGTTTGATATAAGAGTTCCGGCAATGACATCCAAAGTGGCGGAAGTATTGTCTCTAATTCCTAAAACGTGTCGTGATTGTAGTATTAAAATAAGAAATGAACATTAAATAGTAAAATATTACGAAATCAATTAACGTTACAACAGTGTAGTTTTTGCTAATGCTCGTCATTGTAAGAAAAAGACAAAGATGTTGACTTTCACCCGTCCTTGGTCATCTTTACTTTCTCTCCACAACAATCCGCTTGTGCCGTTAATTTTGCGTTTACGGAATTTATTCGCTACTAATAACATACTTATATTATTTTTGTTATTATGCAAAATAATATAATAGTCCCATATAAGACTAAAATTTACTACTTTATCGTGGTTGAATGAAAAATGTAAAAAAACTGTTAAGTCTTATAATTTCTTTTTAATTAAAATCAAACAAAAAAAAATTAATTTGGCAGTAATAATACAAGTGGCATAGTTATTTAAATTTTTTGGAGTAATAGTGAAAGGCCAAAACAAGAGAAGTGAAGAAGTAACAGAACGAATACTAGCAGGCAACAAAACATACTGGAGATATCATAGGCTTATGAAGGACAAGAACTTATCCAGAAATACAAAACTGAAAATATACAGAGTTGCAATCAGACCAGGAGTTACGTAAGCTCAGACAATGTACCTCACGGAAAAAGATAAAAAAAATTGAGAATTTTTGAAAAGAAAATCCTCAGACGGATTATGGGCCCGATAAGAATGGACAACGGAAAAATTAGAAGAAGAATGAACCATGAACTAAGAGACATAATGAAGGGAAAAGATATAGTTAGATTTATTAAAGCACAGAGGCTGACATGGCTGGGACACATACAGAGAAGGAAAAATGAATTACTGATTAAGAAGATCACCAGATGAAAACCAGCAACTAAAAGACCAAGGGGAAGACCCAGAGAGATATAGGAGGATCAGGTCATGAGAGATATCCAAATTCTGGGAGTAAGAAACTGGAGGGAACTATGCACATATCAATATGAGTGAAAGAAAATTGTAACGAAAGCTAAGCCATACAAAAACTTTGACAACATACAAGTCGAATGCAGAGTGATTCACTGTAATAAGCGAATCAGAGAGCTCTAAGTAAGAGCGGCAAATCTTCCACCCGGAATAAAAAGCCCTGATGATGATGATGACAAGCGGGATATATTATGAAAAATAGCAGAACACAGTCTTTGAACAATTTTGTATCAATTTTCGTATAAACATTTCAACGTCGCCTTCTCTGGTCTGGAAAAACAACAGAACAGTCTCAGGCTAAAACATACGCAATCTATCCGATTAGTATATGACAACACAGTTATTACCATGGAATTATAAACACAGATGGACTCAGTTATTTACATAAAATTATGAAGTCAAAATTATTTGAATACGTCACATTCTCAGAACCTTCAACTGTTGTCACGTTTTGTTTTAAAATTTCTTATTCGCGAGTCGCTGAAAATATTACTCTGTATTTTATACTCTACAGGTGCTATCAAACTAAAATAATAATTTATTGGTTATATTAATATATTTAATTGTAATCAAAATATCAAGTGTGCACATAGTGTGCATTATCATTTAATAATAGCGTATAATAGATATCAATCAATTATTTTATATGTAGAAGCATTGAAAACTATTTATAAATGGCAATGGTTGTTTACATTTCTCTGTCTTATGGATCTACGTCAAACTTCAAATGCTGTTCTATGTTTGTTTACTTTTTACAGTAAATGAGGAAAAAGTTATTTTTTCGATATTTTGGCTGTATTTTGAGTGATATTTGTGAAAAGTGAAATAAAATAAACGAAATATTTACATCCCGATCTCCCATTTCATTTGTAAGTACATACAATTTACATTATTTAAGATGAGGAAATGAGGAAGCGTGTTTGTTTACATTTTAATAGGCGTACCATTGGGTTTATTCATGTTCATTATTGTATTGAATAAGATATGAGTTCATGAAATTAGTAGAAATTTATAAATTGTAAGTAGACATCGTCTGATTAAAAAAGATCTGTTTAGTACATTTTTAATTTAATATTTCTCATGGATACAAATAAATTAGTGAAATGAATAAAACTCATTTATTTTTCTATGTAGGTTTCCAAATAATATTGACGATCGAACTATTTGGGTAGCAAATTTAGGAGAAAATATAAAGATTTTTTATTGTAGCATTATTTTGATACTATTAAAAAATTAACTTGAATTCAACTATATTTAATTGTATTAATTTTAAAGCAGTTAGCTTTAAAATTAATACAGTTTTAAAGTTAGTATAGTTTAAAAGCATTTTAGTTAAACTCTCGTTTTTTTTTTAATTCTTTGAAGGTGTTTTTATACATTATTACCACTTCCAATTTTTAAAATCTGAATAATTACCCGCGAGTAAAAATTCAAGCACGTTTATGCTCATTGCGGAATCATCACATTCTATCGAAGCTTCAAAATATTGTGTGTTAAAGGCATCTTATTGCTGTGTCCATCTATGTTATATACTAATAAAAAAATACCTGAGATATCAGCAACACAATTCCAATGATCATAATTATACAAAAACATTCTTAGAAACAAATCTTATTAACAAAGAATTACCATAATAAAAATATTTTAACGAAGAAGAATTTCATCCAATCATTTATAACTTTAGCATAATTGAAATAAATTATGCTCTAGCTTCAACAAAAGTTACAGCTCCTGGTCCTGATAATATACAGACTATCTTTTTACAAAAATATTCGGATAATAGCAAAGACTATCTGCTAAGTTTATATAATTACAAAATATTTATTATTAATTTATTTCCCACTAGTTGACGTAAAGCTATAATAATTGAGGGGTGTAAACTCTAAAGTAATCTTATTACACAAGAAAGGTGATAGTCGAAAATTGGAAAACTACAGACCCATCAGCCTACTGTCACACCTGTTTAAAATACTCACCAAAGTCATAACTACTCGACTAACAAGGAAATTAGACGAATACCAACCATATGAACAGGCAGGTTTTAGAAAAGGCTATTCAACTTCCGATCACCTGTTAACCACAAAAATATTAATAGAAAAATGTAACGAATACAAGTTTCCAGTTTTCCTAGCATTTGTAGACTACGAAAAAGCTTTCGATACCATAGAACACACGACCGTAATAAACGCAATGCAAAATTGTAGAATAGACAGCAGATATATTAAATTAATAAAAGAAACTATGAACCAAGCTACAGCTACATACTACCTAAATGAAAATGAACACACGAACCCTGTACCATTAAACAGGGGAGTCAAACAGGGAGATACTTTATCACCCAAACTGTTCACCTTAGTTTTGGAGGACGTTTTTAAAAAACTAAATTGGAAATATAAGGGAATAAACATCAATGGCCGCTACCTCAGTAATCTACGATTTGTAGATAACATAATCCTGTTAGCTACTGTCCTACAAGAAATGCAAACCATGCTTTTAGAACTACATACCGAATCTTAAAAAATAGGACTGAAAATGAATTTAAACAAAACAAAAGTCATGCACTCCGAAGACACCGTGACAATAATAAACGATAAAGTTATAGAAAAAGTTGAAGAATATATCTACTTAGGACAAACAATAATCCTAAATAGGAAAATTCAAACTGAAGAAACAAAAGAAGAAGAAAGTTGGCTTGGGCAGCATTCGGTAAACTGAACTATATACTCAGAAATCAACAAATTCAATTACATCTTAGATCTAAAGTTTTTGATGCATGCATTATTCCGATATTAACTTATGCGGCACAAACATGGACAATCACAAAAAAGAATATAAATATACTTAGAGTCACTCAACACGCGATGGAAAGAGCAATGCTAGGTATATCACTTAAGGACAAGAAAACAAACACATGGATAAGACAGAAAACCAAAGTCATCGATGTGGTGCAAAAATCATTAAAGTTGAAATGGGAATACGCTGGACATGTAGCTAGGAGCGATCTAAACAAATGGCACAGATCAATTTTAACCTGGAGACCATACCAACACAAAAGACCCAGAGGCAGACCTCCTATGAGATGGACAGATGATCTGAAAAGGACTGCCGGGAAAAATTGGCTACAAGTAGCGTACAATAAAAAACAATGGAAAGGAAGACTTGAAGAGGCTTATGTTCAGATGTGGACGTGAATGGCTAGACGAAGAAGAAGAAGAAGGTTATTTAGTACAATGTTATTATTATTACAGTAACGATTTTTGTCCCTGTATAAAGATCTCCCCTTATAACGATGAACATTTCCGGTCCCTTGCATATCGTTATAGATGGAGATGACGGACTGTATCTTAAATTCAGATTTAGACAATTACATGGCAAATAATATTACTTAAAATATGTCAAACGCGTGATGATTCTAAAACCAGTGTCGATCAATTTGGTTTTGTCAGGTATTAGATTATATTGGCGGTGGCTTAACAATATACGCAAATATTGCCATCTGCTCTTGTTATTCAATTAAATTCCCTTTAATTACATTTTCTGCTAAAACGCACAATGGAGAGCATTTTAGTCCCTTAATAATAATAGTCGTAAATTATTGTTTTATCCATTAATACGCGTATTAGTTAGTTTCGGCGGAATATATACGAAGTACTCCATTTGAGTAGGCAAATAATTTAACTGGAGACTCATAATCAAGGACTTTTAGGTTTTTATCAGAACCATTGATTAGACTGGAAAACAATATATTGCCGTGGAGCATTATTAATCAGATATTAGAAAATCATCCATGATATTGTAAAAGTAATAAATATAACCGAATTAGACAGATATATCAAGCGGTAATTTTATTTTCGCAAATGAATTTTGACAACGGCTTCCGTTGTCAACGGATATCAAATGATGTAAAGATGATACCATTACATTTATACAGTATTGTTTCGAAAGAGCGTATTAGGAGAATTAAATACTTTTTAATTGAAGAATTATTAAATTTCGGTACGTCTAATCTGAAGTAACAACTGTTCATAATTTTGTAGTGAATAAGCAGGTATACGGTCTGTTGTATATTTGATAATAAAACTCCGTTTTAAAACTTCATGGTTTTGTACAGAAGTGATAGAAAAATTTAAAGAACAGAAAAAAGCTTACCTTAAATACATGTCAACCAAAACAGAAGTGGCATACCATAATTAGAAGACAATTAGAAACGAAACAAATGCACTTGTAAGAAAAATAATAAATGATCGCTAGGAACGCTTTTCGAAAGAAATGGAAAATAGTATGGAACTAAT